TTGACATCCATACTGTACACAGGTAAGTTGGGGAACTAGGGATCGAGCCCTGGGATCTGTCTCAACTACCACGAATTGGTGAATACCGTTTCACCCTAAACGAGGCTGCAAAGAAGATCACAGAAAAACGTATGCAACCGGCGATCCTATTCTTCGATTTTGAAAAGGCCTACGATCAAGTCAACTGGGACTTCCTCCACAGCTGCATGGAGAGGATGGGAGTCGACCCAAACTTCAGAGAGTGGGTAAGAGTGCTCCATGGCGATGCCACGGGTAGGGTGCAGATAAACAGAATACTGTCAGAAACATACCCGATATCGAGATCTGTCCGTCAAGGTGACCCCCTTGCACCCCCAATATTCCTGTTCATAATGGAAGCGATTGCATCTTTCCTCTGCAAGGATCCATCCATAGACCGCCTGGCTGAACAAAACCACAACCCCCTCCATGATTTCGCTCTCCCCACCGCACAGATGTTCGCAGACGATCTCACGGTCCTCATTCGCGCTGCACTCTAATACCTGGGCATCATGCTAAACAGAGATGGCATCTGGCAAGGTATGGGGGAGACACTAAATCGCCAGAGCAATACCCCTCTAGCCCCCTGCAACAGAGCTCAGGCCTACTTGTTGGGGAGAGCCCTGATCATCAACACAGCAGTATTCTCCACTTTGTGGTACATGGCCTCCAAATGGTCCCCTCCCGACGACGATCTGGAGAAGCTGAAGGCTAGAGCCAGGTGCGACCTGTGGACCGGTGACCCCAGAAGAACCACCTGCATAAACACGGCCGCCTGGCAAATTGTCATCAGGAAACCACACGGAAGGCTAAGTATAATTGACCCTAAACAGGAAGCGATTGCCCTCCATATGAAATCGATAGTCAAAATCTTAACCAAACAAGCCCTCCCGTGGACCAAGACGGCGGTAGACAGCATAAGAAATCTGGAACCCGTAGCGTCCCCACCGAACATGAGCGGCCTGTTCTGGATCATGGCTAAGGAATGGGCAATCAAATTGGGGAGACCTGTAAGGAGAACTAACCCCGCGAACCCCAATCAGCCCCCCAACACACCCATCCCCTACTGGTCACCAATCTTGAAGGCCTGGTGCCGACTGATGCCAGAAAAGAAAGGGTCTTCGATCAACAATGAGAAAGTCCTAAGACAACCCTTGTTCTGCAATCCCTGGATTAAAGACTCAGAGGGCAGACCTTGGACCCTCCGGCCCAAAGACCGCAGATGGTTGTCTTGGGTGGAGAGAGGAGTATGGCAGATCAAACATCTGTGGTCCGAACTGACCAAACAGGACCTCCGCACATCCTTAAAAGGATGCCACCTACTGTCCACCAACCTGTCAGAAATCCTTCAAAGCTTTCCTCCCCCTTGGACAACCCTCCTAATAGAGGCACACACGTGGAAACCAGGAGACTGGGGACTACTCACCACACAGACCCCACCTAAAAGAGCCTACCGTTTCATGTCCAAACCGGACCCAACCAACTATCAGGCCAAGTTCATATCCTACCCCATCATCAAACACAGCATATATGAACTAGAGGTCCTAAATAAAACACCACAGAACGAACAAATAGAAACCTACCTTCTTAGGAAGGTTAGAGTATCTCACAAGAAACCGTGGATTATCTTCCAGCCGGGACTCAGCATCAAGTAGCTGGAATTCGACCCAAAGGAACGGATCTGGGATCTGGGCCCCACGGGGAAATGGAGGACGATAACAGACTACGACTTAAAATTCGGATATAACCTCAGACTACAGACCAGGGACCCGAATGTGTCGGAGAAATGGAGAACCACACTGAACATAGATGCCATGATCCCCATCACCATTCCATAGACCAAATACCTTCCCATCAGACCAACCAGAATCCGCAGTATGCAATGACTAATAGCACACGCAGCCCTTCCCGTTAACCAATGGCTACGCGTGAGAAGGAAACATTCCGACTGATAGCTCGGAATGCTGCTCAATGTGCAGCAACAACTCACCCAAAGACATACCCCACTGCCTCCTCTTCTGCCCAAGTCACACATGGGCCTACCTGCCTCTAGACTCAGCCTACGAGTATCCAATATCCATCCGGGATATCCTTGCATTCAAGAGTCCCCGTGCCACATGTAACCAGCCCTAGGGCAGGCCTGCATTTAGCTCGGTACCCTCATTACACCTAATACCTCAGCCTACTGGACTCCAGGCCTCTACATGTTGCTGGAAAAATCGTTACGGGGTCCGCACAACTTTACCTACCTGTCCCCCAAAATTTTACCCCTAAGTCCTACTCCTGCTAAACTTCAACCTGTCTGTGTAACTACCGCTACTTCGCAACTGTATCCTTTCCCCAGCACGAACAAACGGTTAGTACAGAAACACAAGCAATAGATTTGGGACTTATCAGGCAAACATACAACCGCCGTAAACCACTCAAGGACAAGCCAAAAGCACTTGGACACTGAGATCTCAGCAAACAGATCAAGACGCAATGACTTTCTCAGAGAAGCACGGAGTCTTCAGACTGCAACTATGCGGGTCATTGGGATTCATTCTCTTCACCTGGATTTTCCTCATGGTTTCCATGCGCTTCTTCTCCATTCCCTCAGACAAGCTGTGCAGTAGCTCGCCTTCTGCAAGGTTGGCACTGAGCTCTGAAATTCTGTTCTCCGCCATATGTAACTATACAAGGTAAAACGAACCACGCACACACACACACACACACACACACACACACACACACACACACACACAGAGAGAGAGAGAGAGAGAGAGAGAGAGAGAGAGAGAGAGAGA